AGAAAATCAAACGATGATTGAATGACCGTGTTACGTAATCTGCTTAGACAAGTGATTACAACCCTGTAACCCGCCTCCCCCACTCCGGTTTATTTTGTAAATCATGACTTTGGTTGCCACCTTGTGATCATATATTAATGTAGAACCTTGAGAATGAGTAATCGAAAAGAATTCTTCGCTTCACTGGTCTTTTCAATGATCTATGGGGATATTTCAAGGCATTATGAAATCTACAGGATAGCCGCGAATGTCTTTGACCGCAAGACTTGCACGCGTGCCAGCGTTGGATCCGTTGGTCACCGTGGGTTGGAGAACTGGTGTTGCTTGGTGCTTTCGAGCCCTTTCCGAAAAACCGCTTTCGTCGGGATGGTGACTGTTTGGAATTGCTGGCACCGAACAACAAATTGGGTTCGTCACAAATAATGGCACGGACGTCTTGGTACTGTTCACAGACTGCCTTAGCCGACTGAAATGTGCAATCGTGCATGAGCAAGAGCTTTTGCCGTAATTCCGGGCAATTAATACCAGCTACTAATCGATCAAGTAGCCGGATTTGCAATTGATCTCCGGAACTGCAACGAGATGCTTGAGTCTGAAGCTGAAGAATAAAGTCACTTGCAGGTTGGCTTGCATCACGTGTGAGCGAATGAAATTTGGCTCGTTCAGCGGCTTAGAAATTAGCCGGCTGTAGATGCTTCAGCAGAAAAGTTTTCCGAGATTCATACTACAACGAGATAAGAGCGACAGGAGATACCAAATTCTTCAACAATGAGTATGCATCCTTTCCGATGACCGTTAGGAAATTATCCGGTTTGCGTTCTCCATCAAGTCCTTTCCACGTAATTCACCAAATCTCGAATTGTTCAAGATAATCTTCGACTTCACGCGCACTAACATGTATGTTCAGGTTCTCCAAATTATAGGGCTCAATTGGTTCAAAACGACCGCGACGCCAGTTGTAGTTAGCACTCGGACTAGTAGTTCGTACACGTATCGGATTCCACGCAGTAATAGTCCAACCCAGAACTAGGACTCTGAATGAAATCACGAAACAGAACTGAACAACGGATTCGAACTTTCCTAGGCGGAAATTCGGAATGTGCAAGGATATCGTGTTCAATAAAACAAAGGAGCTCATAGTTCATGAACAGTCACCAAAGCCATATAACAAAATTAACCATTTGTTACCCCACTAGTGACAAGAAATGAGGGTGAGACTTTGCCATAGGCCCTACCACTCCCCGAAGTCCGATGATAGTTTAGATATTGGGATGCTATCTCACAACTTGTGAAAGCGATGTGATCTCTAATTTTCCGTGATTCTCAATATCTCGGTAAATACCGGAAACAAAAACCGATTAGTCAACGGAAAATGTATTGTTCCTTTAAAGGTACCGAAATTTTGACCTGAGTACGCTCAAGAGTGTCTGAAAGCGAAGAGCATATCAGGTGAATGTGTAGCACTGAATTCACGCACGTTTAAAGTGAATTTACTTCGCCGGAGGTGGCAGTGACAAAAAAAGAAAAACCTAGCTAAAGAAGTGGCGGAATCTCTGCTACAAAGAAGGAGAATGAACAAGCNGCCTGAAACCAAGAGAAAGCATACATGTGGAACAAACATGCAGACCAAAAATGGTTACAACCCTCGAGCATTTTACACTTTAGTGTCTGCAGCCACTACCGTACAGTGCTTTTGGAAGCAGGACACACTTTCTGGTTATTCCGTATCTCCACAAACAGTCCCACAGTGCGAGGCGATCGTCGAAGTCGAAGACCAAAAAACGCGACCATAGATTGTCGCCTGTAGGTGTGGCGGTATTCTAGTAGCTGAAGGAGAGTAAAGATTTAATGTAGGCAACCGAAGCATGCACGAAACTCGACCCGCTCTTCACGAAGTAGTCTTCCACGAAATGAACTTAGTCTGCCTGATAGTCTGCCTAGCTTTGACGCTTTAGCATTGAGAGGTATGCCATATGGTTGGAACGGGCGTTGCGACAGCCCTTCTGTTAGATGGGTGTCGCAATCGATTCCCCTATATATGAGGTACAGTTTTTTCTCCCAGATCTTCGAAGCAGTCTAGTAAGCTCTCTTATGAGAGCTTATCCAATATACTTAAAGAGGGCCGGCGTCGAGTTGTCTGATCCAAGGGCCTTGTAGCGTTTCACAATTTGAAGTTCTTCTCGGATCTCCAGGGATAGTAACCAGGGGTACGCTTTCAGGAGAACTACTTAGAGTATACAACAGGGGAGACTGGTTAAACTGCGACTTTAAGTGCTCTTCTCAGCGTCCTAAGCATCGCTGAAAACTATTTATTGGCATCCTATCTACTTCGCAAATTGCTTCACCAACGCAGTCTTTTGGGGTCCATAGCACAGACAAGTTGGAACAGCTTCGGGTGCTTCCACACCTAGCCGCTGATTCCACCCTCTTTGCACGTAGCGTCCACCAGGCATCTCGGTCGTCTCAATGTGAGTTAGAGCGTTAAGGAGGGGTGCTGCTCATTATAATCGCTGTCAGCCGGGAGGAGGATAACGGAGAGATACAACATTAACCTACTTCAGTGGAACCATTCGAAATAGAACACGTCGTGTAAAAAGTGTGTCTTATTTGAGAGGTATGGTAGGGTAAGTGGAAGGGTTGCGTGAAGTTTTTGAAAGGATTGAGCTTTGTGTAGGTTTGAAAGTCCGAGACTTTCGTGAATGTATGCTTCCACGGTTAGATTGTGGTTGTGGCACTATCCGGGTATAGCTTTTACTTTGTGGGCCCTTCTCGGAGCAATATGGCGGAGTTAAGCAGGGAGTCCACGTTCCTCTGGGAGCCGATGACTGACAGATACGTTCATGCTCCTTCCGGTAATGGTCAACTATTCATGATGCCCAGATTTCCCTTGGGCCTTCGCACTTGCCAGTGATTGTCATGCTGGTTGACTCCAAAGGTGGACTTTAGGAACTTGTCCGGGGTCGCTCCGAGGTTTGGGGCCTCTAAGAGCTTCTCAAGCCAAGAATGGGTGTTTTGGAATCAGGGTTTTAGCCAAATTTCCTAGACTGAATACTAATACTACATCTACACGGTGGAAAGCGTCGCGAGTTTTCCCTCCCCCCACTTTAGTGTTAACATAGACACAAAAGGCACTAGGTAGGACGTCCTCATTAGAGGCCATTTGAGACGCTTAATCGTTTCGGAGCAGTTATAGAAAAGTTCGGGACGAATGGCCATTTCCGAGCTCTACGCACTCAATCCCAATAATACTGAGGCACTTGGAGGTTATAAAAAAACTGATGTAAACAAGTATTCAGCCCGTTGAAATAGCAAAGAAGTGGCTGTCTGTGAGGCATATACACCCCATTCTTGATGAATCGTACGTCCCAAATCAGTTTGTCACATCCCTAGTTTGATTGAGAAAGCAAGCCCTAAAGTGACGTTTCCTCGACTTCCGTGACGACTCCAAATTGATGTACAGAACAAAGGTTTTTGGTCATTTCTCTCTTTTACAACTTAGTAGCTCCACTGCGACCGAAAATAACACTGTTTCGTAGTTCGAAACGAAGTTGCACGCTATCGAGTATCATTTGTGCACGACGGTAAACAAAATTCCTCACAACTGCTAAAACACAACTCCAAGTCTATCCTGTTCCAAGGAATCACACTACTTCTATTGTTGTGCATACCGCCATGCCTCGAAAAATCCCTAGCCAATAAAAATGGGTGAAAACGTAACTAAGGAACACTGGGTCATCGAGTACTCTAGCATACGTATAACAAGCATTCATCCTAAACGCTACTGTTTTCTATGTTGTTGCCATAGTGTGTTATGTACGCCATAACCTAATCTGCGCTTAATCTTGAACAAGCACTTATTTGACTTGGCTTGATATCCCTTCGTGCAAGATTAACGCGTGATCTCTTTCACGTGACTAAGCATTATACGCTCACGTTCACAACATGTCCAGTGATGACACCAAGCTGAAATGTCTAAAACAATCGTTTGTGGGACCTCCAACTAAAGGAGAATTGGCCAATGTGATGCATGCAGTATAACTGAGGCAATGTCTGAAGAGGACAAATGTTACCGCGGTCAGTCTTCATTCGGGGGTCGTGAGAACAGCAAAAAACAGAGACTACTAAACTGCCTAGTTCATACAATCCAATGGGCCTGTTGTGTACATGATAATTAAAGAAACATAATGCCATTGAGAATTTCACAGATATTGTCTGACGATTACGTAACGGTCCATACAAAATTTGGTGGATTCAGAAGATGCCCTTTCGAATCACCGATAGAGAGCACCCACCGAGAATCACCATTCAAAAGAATGAACTATTGTCAACTGATTGAACACAAAACTTCTGCTTGCATATTACTGGCGAAGTACCGTTGAACTTCTCTCAACAGCTTATAGCCATTCACTTGCTTACCAATTACTTGCTAAAAAAATCACCAAGAATATTCGCAGTCGAAAACACATCGATCTTCTAACCCTATCCACATGAAGCGTTCAAGACTGGTCTCAGCCAATGTCACAGTTCAACGACAGTTATTGGCCACAGAAATAAATACACTAGAACCAGTCAATACGTACAACATAGTACAACATACCAGTTGCACACGATTTTCACTGAGGGAGATACGCTGACGTCCACTACCGATAATGCGCAGTGCGTGACAGACTGTCGCAGCATGAAGTCACATGAACTCGTGAAACACTTATCGACACACGCCAATGAAATTTCACCGGTGGCTGTCGTGGTTGGTTAGGCAAACCAATTCCATTGTGTTACATGTGTCAGCGTAAATGTAAATATGAATATAAGAGGGTAGACCTACAGACCAAATGCGAATGATATCATTATGTCTAGACGCCAATCGATGTCCAGTCAAATCCACAGTTCACAACTCGATATATAAATGGAACTATGTTTCCGCATTTAACAGTTGAACCGAAGTTCCAACGGGAACCCAGTCATACTAAACTTACCTAATTCGCATAAATTTGAAAACAATGTCTGAAACCAAAGGATTTCTAACAAAGCGCTGTATCATTCCCGGTCGACTTGAGGAGAAAATAGCCATTGTCACAGGCTCAAACTCGGGCATCGGACTGTACACGGCTGCCGAACTGGCACGACGTGGTGCCACCGTGATCATGGCGTGTCGAAGCGTAGAGCGCGCGGAAACTGCAAGGACCAAAATGCTAGCGGATTACGGTGCGGCCAACCCTGATTGGATGAAAAATGACGTAGCGGATCCGTCTGTCACTTCATCATTGAAACCTATAGAAGCCAGTCAAGTGAGCCATTCTTATTCTTCCAATCCAGACTAATGCATCGATGATTAAATTTTTGAGCACAACATGCCTCAGATTCGTTGGGCAATTTTCAGTTATACAATACTAGACTATATCAACATTGCACATGCTAGGTGAGAGAAAATAGCCAGGGTCATACCTAGTGGTTGAGTTTTCGCGGCTGAATAAAAAGAGGAATGTTCAGCAACTAATACTTTGGCAAAAGTATTCGGAATATTTCTGGTACAATTTACTGATCATTACTGGTTGATCACAATTTATTTCCTGAGTCATGTTGATATAACTTGAGGAATAAACGCGAAATTTGACAAAGGATCTCTGATCAAAATGCTAGACAGCTCTTACTTGCTATTTCAAAGTTACAGTGATAAGTACAGTTAGGTGTGATTGTGTGGTGCTTACAAAAATCTTACAAATTGCAACAAAGTTACAGGGAATGAAGATGAAATCATCGTCATGGATTGTTGTATTGGTGACCGTGTTGCGTGCGTTAAAAGCCACGTGAACTGAACTTACGAAAGAAACGGTGTGATATTCGGCGACGGGAAAATTCTAAACTCGATGGTCCTGTTGGAATCATGTCCTACTGACACCCCGCACCACATCAGGTTAGCCTTCAACCGTTAAGCCAATATGTGGTAATCCAGGCCTACGTGATAACGACTACTCTAGAGCGGCGCGTTACAGTTTCTGGACACCTGCGATCAATCAATTTGAAAGGTGACGTCATTGATGCGCGTAAGGCTTCTGACTACACGCCACAGGTAGGTTGTGCCAGCCAATCCGAGACAGTGCAGACAGAAGCAGAATTATGCAAACAATACTGCAATACGATTGGTCGAATCCTAGATAACCGATGATCTTCCTTTGTACATATTAAGTAAACGCCTTCATTTCTTCCAATAAACGAGCTACGAGCTACCATTCTTGTGGCCTTTTTCCTCGCGTCTCGTTCACATGGGATATCGCGAGTTCGTGCCATCGCTGTCCAGTGTTTCCGTAATCCAGTCCGTGATATCTGATCCTAAATTCGTGTCCTGTGATTTCTATTGTGTGGTTCATGTCCCGAATTCCGTGCGCACTACTACTACTACTACTACAATCATTACACTATGATACTATGTGATGGTATGGGGGTGTGATTTTCGTGGATGGAAAGTTTAAGCTGACTATTCTTGAAGGGAATCAAACAGCTGAATCATATGTCTAAACCTTCAACGAATTTCTTCTCCCTAGAACTCCAGAAAATGTGATACTCTATAATAGTTATGCACCTATACATAGAGCCCAGCTCACTAAAAGTGACGAGGCTAGTTTAAGCGCATGTCAGCCAATTGCGAATGGCCCTCGAATTAAAATTGCATATAATTCAGGAGTGGAATAATTTCTAAGCTCAAGCATGCTGAACCATGGAAGGAAGTATGTCTGAACGCTGTTCCGATCATCAACAATGAAGTTCGAAGTGTTCACTAAATGCTTGGATATTTTTCCCATTTTCCCCAGGAACAGTTGTATTGTAATTGGCACCATCAGGAGCACATGTTTCAGTATACATCAGGTGAGAAAAGCTGTTCACTATTCAATCAATGTGTCGTATCCACATTGTAGAAAATTGGGTTCTGGGTTCTTTGGTAAGCGAGAAACTACGGAAAAATAAGATTAGGGTAGTATTATTGAGTGCACCATAAAACCGCAAAATAATTTTGTTTGTCATGCCTCATTATCTAGTGATATAATTTTCTGGGTCAAATCAATGCATGAGTCGGGGAAGTAAAAAGATACCAGTAATGGGTCATCCTTGAAAGAGGAATAACATAGAGAATCAATCGGGCAGTGGATATCATCTGCGCAGCTCCCATAGAAGATGTACGATCCTGATTGACCATTCAGTAAATACATTAATTTACAAAATAGGTGATTGTACATCGATCAGAATATTACCTGAAGTCAGTTCTATCACAATGCTATCTTTTTGTTCCTACATCTCACCAATGATGTAAAATGAGATAGTTATACACGATTGTAGCATAATGCATAATTCCCTAATGGATGTATCAATATTCATGCACCTGCGTTTTAGCTGACCGCATATACAGACCATTGCTGCCCCCACAGGTGCATTGGTGAAAAGGGAAGTCACGTGATAAATATACATATACATACTTATTATGAAATATTCTATAAAGACAATCAAGTCATGTCTGTTAAGGTTAGTAACACCTCCGTCCCCCCAACAAAACATTGACCCAAGCAATGATTGTTCAATAGACTGGCTCTGAAAGAGCTATCTAGCCAAAAATCATCTGATATTGCGAACAAGGTTATTGTGACGAAAGTACACTTCCTGAGTACAAGTATATGAGTGAAGTGACAAAAGAATACCGGATACACATGCCCGACTAGTGGCAAGAACTACGAAA